CGGGGGTGGGGGCAGGGAGGGGTCTGTCCGTCTGTCTGTCCGTTCAAAGGGCGGGGTGGGAGAGTCGGTCTGTCTCGCGGAGGGGGCAGCACAGGGGATCTGTGTGTCTGTTTGGGAGGCAGGCAGGTGTCTGTCTGTCTGTCTGTCTGTCCGGAGGGGAAGGTGGGGGGGTGTTCTGTTTGTCCTTCCGGGGCACAGTGAGGGGGGCTCTGCCTGCTGCGGGGGGGGAGTCCGTCTGTCTGTCCAAAGGGCAGCACAGGGGGTCTGTCCGTCTTGGGGGGATAGAAACAGGGAGGGGAGGTGTGTGTGTGTGTTTGTCTGTCTGTCCGTCCGGGGTGGGGGCAGCGCAGCGCCCTCACCTCCGCCCTCCGCAGCCCCTCCCACATGAACCCCCCGCCCCGGGATGAGCTCCAAGGCCAAGCGGGTGCTGCCCACCCGCCCTGAGCCCCCCAGCGCGGAGCAGATCCTGGCCGACGTGCAGGGCACGCTCCCCTCCGACCCCGTGTTCGTCCTGCCCGCCGAGCCCCCCCAGGACCACGGCCCCGCTCCAGGTGAGCCCTCGCTGGGGAAGGGGGGACGCGGGGACCCCCCGGCCCCGCTGAGTCCCGGCTCTGCCCGCCAGGCTGCCCCGAGCCCGCGGCCGAGGAGCGGGAGCGGCTCTACCGGCAGATCCGCTCCTACGTGGGGATGAACGCAGGGCTGCAGCAGTCCCGGGAGCGGCTGCGGGAGCGGCGCCGGGAGCTGCAGAGGGTCGGGGAGGCGCTGGAGCGCGGCATCGCCGAGATGAGGCAGAAGGCGTTCTGAGGGACCGTGCTGGGCGCCTCGGGACACGCCGCACTGTGGTTTCACCTTCCCAAAGCCGTTTGCATCGGGAGGATCCGGATTTGCCAGGACAGCCCCGGCTGTGCCACCCCAGTGACTTTTTCCCAGGGAACACCGGGACCCGCCAGGCCGGCACGGTGGCACTTTCCTGCTGCTGGGACAAAAGCTTGCACCCCTCCTTCTGCCCCTGAACCGGCTGCCATGTCCCCCGTGGGTGGCACGTCCTCTGCTCCCTACGACTTTTCCCTCTGGTACTTCCCCGAGGATGACCACGTCGCCTCCCGCATCGCGGAGCGCCTGAGGCACGAGGGATTTCGGGGCTTCACCGAGCACCAGGACCAAGTGGCGGGGACATCCGTCGTCCTTTCGGCCGTGGAGGTCATCGAGGCCAGCCGGGTGGCCATCCTGCTCCTCTCGGCCAAGTCCCTGGGTGACCGGTGGTGCCAGCGCGTGTCGCAGTGGAACCTGTTCCACAATGTCCACCAGCGCGGCCCCAGGGTGGTCCCCGTGTGCGTGGGGGTGAGCAGGGCCCAGGTGCCCCCGTTCCTGCAGCACCTCGTCCCGCTGGAATACCAGAACGAGTTCTTCTTCCAGCGGCTGCTGGCCAGCCTGAGGTCCCGCCCAAGGAGCGGGGCCAGGCGGGTCCCGCCCGAGGGGACGAACTGAGGGACCACCAGGGGGGCTGGGTCGGGGGCCAGCACCGCCCCATGGTGTGAAAAACTGCCCTGTTTTGCTAATAAAGGTGGTGGGAATGGGTCAGCCAGCGCTGTGGGCTGTCACAAATGTCACAAACCTGCATTTTTGGAGTTGAGGGTGTCAATTTCTGTCTGCAGAGCCGAGCGCTGGGGGGGCCGTGGGTGTTTCCCACCCCCACAGGTGTGACCTTGTGGGTGCTTCTTCCCCTTCCTGCCCCCCTGAGCTGCATCCCTGCCCCGCTGCTGCCCTGCCCCGCTGTCACACGCCACCCGGGGCTCCTCCAGCTCGGCGGCTGCTCCGGGAAACGCGGAGAGGGCGGGATGGGGGCGAGGGGCTGCCTGGGGCCGCTGCTGCTGCTGCTGCTGCCGCCCCTCCCGTGGGGTGAGCACCGGGCCGGTGGATCCGGCGTGGGCTCGGAGTCACTGGCCGGGGCGGTGGCAGGAGCTGGTGGGGACAGGACCTGGCTCCAGCCGTCCATCATCGGGGGACACGATGCCAAACCTCGCTCCCGGCCCTACATGGTGTCCCTGCAGTTCCGGGGGGTTCACGCCTGCGGGGCAGCGCTGCTGCAGCGGAGCTGGGCGCTGACGGCCGCGCACTGCCAGCCTCGGGGGTGAGTTCGGCACGGCTGTGTCCTGCCCGGGGAGGGGACGGGGCTCCGGGTGCGCGGCACCGGACTGACCCCGCTCCCGGCGCGGGGCAGGTCGTGGGACAAGGGGCGGCTGGTGGTGGGGCTGCACGAGTGGCAGAAGCGCGGGGCGAGCACGCAGACCTTCTCCATCCGGGCTGCCTGTCCCCACCCCGGCTACAACCGACGGACGATGGAGAACGACCTGCTCCTGCTCCAGGTGGGGCTCGGGCCGGCCGCGGGGAGGGCTCCGAGCGGGGCTGGAGCGGCGGCGGTGCCGGGAAGCGCTGCCGGGAAGGGCGGGGAGTTCGCGCGGGGTCGGTGCAGCTGCGCTCGCAGCCGGGGCGAGCGGCGGGGTGACATTTCCTCTTCTCACCCCCAAGAGATTTCACACCTGGGTGTCATCTCCCCGCTCCCATTGGCGCTGCACAAGCTCGGTGCTCCCCTTGCCCCCCTGGGCTCCCCCTCAATCCCCCGCCTGCAGCACTGGGGTGCTCCCCTTTGACCCCAGCACCCGCGGTGTGGGGGTGCTCCCTGCCAGCCCCTCTGCCCATGGGGGGGTTCTGACGCCGCCCCCCGCCCGCAGCTGGACGGGAAGGTGACCCTGAGCAGCACACGGCAGCTGATCCCGCTGGCGAGCCGGGAACCGGCGCCGGGGGCGCGCTGCAGCGTGGCGGGCTGGGGGGTCGTGGACCGCCAGGGCCGGAGGCTGTCGCCCACCCTGCAGGAGCTGAATGTGACGGTGATGGACAAGCGAATGTGCAACAACAGCCGCTTCTGGCGCGGTGAAATCGGCCCCGGCATGATCTGCTTCCACGGGCAGCACCGCGGCTCGGGCCCCACCAAGGTGAGAGCCTGGGGGTCCGAGGGCTACAGAAAGCCGAGCCCGGCTGCTGGGGGGATGCTCACCTTGAGTAGGTGAGATGTTCTCCCGGCCATGGTGGGGGTCCCTGTCGCCTGGTCCACTCCCCGGTGTCACCCCCCCCCAGGGTGACTCGGGGGGGCCGTTGGTGTGCGGGAAGCGGCCGGCAGTGGCCGGCGTGATGTCCTTCAACAGCAAGAACGCCGCTGACCCTTTCAAGCCACCCGTGGCCACCTCGACTGTGAAATACAAGAAATGGATCCAGAAAACGCTGCGGAGGGGCTGCGGATCCGGCCAGCCCAAACACACGGGATAGACCGAACACCCCTTCCTATTTACACAGGTTGGCTTTTAATTGGGAATACTGTCCAGAGTCTGGTAAAATAACATCCTTAGTACATAGATACAGTGACGGCGAGCGGAGCCCGGCAGGATTGTCGGAGGAGGAGGAGGAGGGCGGTGGCTTGTAGCCGGGGGGCGATGCTGGCCCTCCTGCCACCCCTGCGCTCCGTTACAGCACTCGGGAGTGCTGCTCCTGGGATTTTCCTGCTTTTCTTCAGTCCCGGCCACTGGTCCCTCCGTGCCAGGCACTGCCAGGGCAGGGGGGCTCCAGTGAGCACCGGGGTGTGCCCATCCCCACGACCCCAATGCCCATCCCTGTGTATCCCCACGGTCCTGATGTCTCCCTGGCCCCACTGTGTGTCCCCAGTGCAGCCCAGAGCTCCTCACTGTGTCCCCACAGCCACCCAGGCGTGTCCCCTGCACATGTCCCCATAGCCCTGTGTCTGTCCCTACAGTCCCCCCTGGGATGGCACTGGGATGGGGGGGGGCACAAGTCACCCCACCCAAAGGAGGGAGTGATGGTGCAGGACTGGAGGTATCCAAGGGGTCTGGGACCACCTGGGTTGGGGGTCCCTCTGCAGCTCATCCCCGGGGCTGAGGCACTTTCCACACACCCCAAAGTTGGCACCTGGGCATGGCTGGCAGCAGGAGTGGGGGTGTCCCCAGGGTTTTGGGGCTGGCAGGCCCTGTGCTCGTGGGCGTAATCCAGTCCTGGATGGATTCGTGTCCACATCCACAAGGACACACCGGGATCCTGGTTGCAAGCCGAGGCTCTCCTGCCCTGCGGGTGGGAGGCTGGGGGGCTGTGGTGGAAGTGAGGGACCCCAGACCCTTTCCTGGGGGTTGGGCATCCTGGTGCCAGCTCAGCACCCTGTCCCCTCCCCAGCAGCCCCCCAGCCTGGTGACAGCACCGCGTGAGCAGCCCCTGGGATGAGCCCATCGAGACCCCGGCCACCCCCATGAGCCCTGCCCGGCTCCTCCTGCACCAATTCCTGCCATCCCCTTGGACCAGCACAGGTCACCCTCAGCCATCAGAAATCTCCAGCGGGGGTCCTGGTCCTCCAAACGGGGGTCCTGGTCCCCATCTCCCCCTCCAAATCCTCTCCTCTGCATCCCTTCCCTATTCCCTGGTTAATAAATGAGCCAGAGCTAGTGCCAGACGGGCTGGAGCGTGTGGGGTTTTCCTGCATGTGCTGTGTCAGCTCCCGGGCGTGTGGGATCAGGCCCTGGCTCAGCCCCTGGGTGAGCAGGATGGGGGCACACGGGGACACAGCCCCACCTCACTTTGTCCCTGGGCGTCCATCAGTGGGAGGCGATGGTCCATGAGAACCACCCCAGCTCGGGCTGAACCCGGAACGTTCCCAGTTCTGTCCAGTCCTTGCTGCTGGGAATGGTGATGCTTCAGCAAGACCCCAGACAGGGCCAGCAGCGGGGTGGGGTGACTCGCTGGTCCCCAGCTGTCCCACATCCCCACGTGTGTCCCAAACACAGTCCTGGCCAGCTCCTGTGGGGCTGGGGGCGTCGCAGGACCCTCGCTGGGGCATCATCAAGCTTGGATTTTCTCCACCGCCTTGTCGGCCACCGCCGTCACTGCCATGGGGCTGGGGACGTAGTTGAAGGGGGTGACACGGGCGGCCTTGCTCGGGGAGCCGTGCCGGCTGCCGGGGAAGGTCCCGGCGGGCGCCTCGTGCCCGAAGGAGATGGGCAGGGCGGCCTTGGCGGGCGCGGGGGCTTCGCCGTCGCCGGTGGCGCGGGGGTGAGGGGGTCCCTCGCGGGTCTCCAGCGTGGGAGAGGTGCTGGAGTTGGTCTTGGAGGTGGCGAAGTCCTCGGTCTGCACCACGGCGTCGCTGGTTTTCCTGGGCGTGCCGGGGGTGCCGGGGGGTTCCTCGTCGCCGGAGCCCGCCAGCGGCAGCGCGGAGGAGGGCAGCGTGCTCTTGAGGATGTGCGGGATGTCCTCGTCGCGGATCCTCCGCCACGTGCCCTTCATCACCACCACCGGCGGCTTTCCCTGCGGCCCCCCGGGAGCCGGCTCGTTCTGCCGCCGCCGCGCCGCCGCCTCGGAGCGCACGGAGGACGGGCTGGCCGCCCGCCGCGCCACGCTGATGTTGGGCGAGGACGAGTAGCGCTTGAAGGGCTCGGCCGCGGGCACGCTGCTCTTCACCGGCAGCCGGGACGGGCTCTCGGAGCTGGTCCGGCGAGGCGGTTTGGCCCCGGCCGTGGCTTTGCCGCCGGGCTGGGCTCTGGGGATGAGCGGCCGCTGGCCGGGGGTCGCCGGTTTGGCCGCCTTGAGCTCGTCGCAGCGGGAGGAGCAGAGGAACACGGCCGGCAGCGCGGCTCGGCTGCGCTGGGGAGAGCCCCGGCGAGGCAGCGAGGTGGCCGGCGGCGCCGGGGACAGGTCGGAGCGGTGCCGCAGCAGCAGGCTCGAGGATTCCTTGATGAAGGTGAGCTGGCGCAGGAAGCCGGAGCGGTCGGAGTCGCTCCCGCTGGAGCGGGCGGATGACATCCGCACCAGGTTGAGCCGGCTGCCCCCCGGCCCCCCCGGCCGAGCCTTGGAGCCATCGACCTGCTCCTCCAGCACCGGCATGGCCCCCCGGCCCGGCAGCACCTTCCTGCTGGGCTTCTGCATGAAGGGGATGCGCACGGGCGACTTCTGCGTCTTGGACTGCTTGGGAGCCGGGGATCTGGGGGCCGGGGCTCTGCCCGGGGGTCCCGGCGGGGAGGAGGAGCCGCTGGCCTTGCCCGCAGCGGGGCCGCCCTGTTTGGTGACCTGGGAGGGCGACGGCAGCTTCTTGGGGGCGTGCTGGGAGGGCGTGGAGGTGCGGGAGGAGCCCGAGGAGGGGGGGCCTTTGCCGATGCGGGCGGGCGGGGTCGTGCTCCTCTTGGGCAGCGCCAGCTCCCCGGTTTCGGGGGCTTTGCCCAGCCGGTGCAGGCTCCGCGAGCGCTGCTGGCTCAGGGAGAGGTTCTTGGCCGGCGGCGCCTCGGGCTTGGCCGCAGGGGTCTTCTTCGGGGTGGCCCGTGGGCTGGGGGCATCTTTGGCCAGGCTGGGCATGTAGATGACGGTCCTGCCGCGGAAGACCACGGGCAGGTTGGGCACCGGCTTGGAGGGCGCCGGGCTCCGCTCCGCCCTGGAGCTGGCGCGGGCGGCGGGACGGGCACCGGCCGCGTCCTTGCGCTCCGGGCGGCCCTTGCTGTGCTCCCTCCTCGCTGGGTCCCGGCCGGAGGCGCTGCCGGGCCGCTGCTTGTCCTGCCTGCCCAGGGAGAGCTGCAGCGTGGAGCCCACCGAGAGCCCCGACATGAAGGACAGGATGGAGTCGGACTCGGAGGAAGGCTCCCGGGACAGGGAGGCGGCAGCCTGGTGCAGCCAGGTGACGATGGAGTTGGCTCCCTCCTGGATGGCTTGCCACTCCACGCTGTCCAGGTCTGAGCCCCTGTCGGAGCCGGCGTCCTCCTCGGGGTGATGCCTGGCCTCGGCTTTCCGCTCCCTCCCTCCGGCGCCCGGCGGCTTCTGCTTTCTTTCCACCAGCCTGCGGCGAGCCGCGGGCCGCCGGCGCTTGGGCATGGCCGAGCCGATGCACTTCTGCAGCAGATCATCCTCCGAGTTGAGGCTGGGGGAGCTGGGCGAGCCCCCCTGCGCCTGCCCCACTGCGGCTGACCGCGGCCAGGCGGCTTTGCCGCAGGGCTGGCCCCGCTCCTCGCCCTCGGAGAGGTTGGCGTCGCTCAGGGAGCTCATGGAGGAGCTCAGGGAGTAGCACGGCGGCGTCTCGTCGGCGATCAGGTTGTTTTGAGGCTTCGTCTTCGCCGGACGGGAGCCGGGCTCGGGGTCTTTTTGTGGGACGGAGCCTCCCCAGCGCTCCCTCCGCGGTGCCCGGCCGGGCTGGGCTCTGCTGCCGGACCCGTCCCTGCCCGCCTCGGGCAGCTCGTCCAAATCCGGGTCGTAGAAGCAGTAGACGGCTTCCTCCGTCGGCGTGGTGTGGCATAGCGACTGGAACACCACCCCGTCCTCCAGAGCCTCATCCTTCCTCCCGGGGGCACCGCTGGCGCGGCCCACCCCCAGCTCCAGGCTGGCTGCGCCCTTCGGGAGGGTCTGGCCCCTCTTCCCCTCCTCGCGGCCCGGGCCCGCTTTGCCCTTCCCGGCGGAGCCGAGGCGGGCGGGGGCCGAGCTGCCGGAGGCGGCCCTGCGGGCCGGGATGGTGCCGGGCTGGCGGCGCCGCTCGGCCAGGGGGTGCTCGGCCTCCTCGCCCGCCGGGTACCGCAGGGTCTCGTCGCTCAGCGAGGCGGCGCTGGAGAAGTTGACGGGGGTCCCGTCGGCCGAGTCGGTGAAGGAGTCGTCGTCCTTGAAGAGGTCGCGGGCGGTGGCTCGCAGGTGCTTGGGGACGCCGGGGTGGGTGTGGGCCGGCACCAGCATGTACACGGGGACGTGCAGCGGCTTCTTGGTCTGCGGGTGCAGCACCTGCCCGGACAGCAGCGAGGTCTTGACCTTGCGGAAGCGGGAGGGCATGGCCGAGCTGATGCACTCCTTGAGGATCTCGATGTCGTCGTCGTCGGGAGGCTCGGGGCGCTCCGCCCTCCGCCGGCCCTCCAGGTACCGCTCCTCCCGCCGCTCCTCGCGCTTCTCGTGAGCCGCGAAGTTCAGGCTGTTCTTCTCCGGGAAGGTGGGGATCAGCTTGAGCTCCACGTCCTTCTGCACGTAGTGCTCGTGGAGGGGCAGGGCGCTCAGGCTGGAGGCGCACGAGAAGTTCTCGTTGGGTTTCTCCACCGTGAAGTAAACCATGGAGTCCAGGTCCTGGGGCAGCTGGAAGCGTTCCTTGAAGTCGGTGATCTCCATGAACTTCTTGACGTTGTTCTCCCACTGGATGTTGAACTGGCTGGTCTCCTTCTCCGGCTGGCAGCCCAGCTCGAAGAGCGGGGTCTTGCTGCGGCTGGGGGGCATGGTCTGCCCGGGGCTGTCGGGCAGCTCGCTGGGGCTGATGGTGCCGCTGATCATTTCGCTGCACGGGTCGCTCTGGATGGAGCTGGCGATGGAGGGGCTCTCGAAGCTGCCCAGGGAGCTGACGGAGCTGCAGCGGCTCATCACCAGTGGCGTCTCCTGGATGTAGTTCTCTGAGGAGCTCGAGGGCGTCAGGTCCTCCTGGCGCGAGGGCGAGGCCTCCCGCAGGAAAACCTTGTCACGCTTCGGGAAGGGGATGGTGATGGGCTGGGAGATCCCCACAGGCGTGGTGGGACCTGTATCCACCACCTTCTCCTTCTCCTGCTTCCCATCCTCCCCTTCTGCGTCCCCTTCCTCCATCTCCAGGATCTCCAGGGACGAGTCGCTATCCAGGTCGTTCTCGCTGTGGCTCTGCCCGTCCAGCACGTTGTCTGCCGAGGACAGGGAGGACAGGGAGCTGCACCGGGAGAAGCAGATTGGGGTGTCCTCCACCGAGTACTTCTGCACCGACTCCTGCTCCGCCGAGGCCGGTGGCTGGGCCGGCAGCTTCTCCGGGATCTTGCTCAGGGGCTCGGCCGCCTGCAGCAGCGCCGGGGGGAGCCAGGCTTGCTTCCTGCCCAGGAGGGAAGGCTGGTGGCCAGCAGCCGTGCTGCTCTTGGCCAGGGTCTCAAGCATGGGGACATGCTGGTAGGATGGAGAGAGCTTGATGGTGCGAACATGGGGGTCAGTGGGGGGCTTGGTGCCCACTTCCTTCTTCCACTCAGTCTCCTTCTCCGGCACCTTGGGGCTGGGGAATGTCACCATCTTCTTGGCCCGTTCGGGCAGCTCCCGCTGCTCGGGTTTGTCTGGCTCGGCCGGCTCCCTTGCGGGCGGCTCGGCTCGCTCCGGTTTGCCCAGGATGCTCTTGAGGTCGAGCCTGCTGGGCCTCTTCTGGTAGCGCTGCAGCTCGTCCCGGTAGTCCAGGAAGGCGGCCCTGGGGCAGGGCTTCATGTGCTCCTTGGTGCAGTAGCCGTCGCTGGTGCTGCCGCTGTTGAGGCTGTCGGTGGACAGGCTGGTGTAGGCCGTCTTCAGCCGCAGCAGGGTGTGCGCCCGGCTCAGGCTCTCCCGCTTGGCGAAGCCGCCGGCGTCCGACAGCCGGCACGGCGAGCAGGACTGGGCGCGCGCCTCGTGCCCGTCCTCGGGGCCGTACTGCCAGTCCAGGCAGTGGTCCTCGGAGCTGAGGCTGAAGCTGTCGTCCGAGGAGTTATGCATGGTGGAGATGTCCTCCACCAGCTTGTCGATCTTGGCCACCGTGCTGGAGATCTTGTTGGCCAACTTCTCGGCGGCCAGCGAGACGTCGTCCTCCGGCAGCGGCGGCTTCTTGGGCTCGGCCGCCTTCCCGCTGCCGTCCTTCTCCGGCTCCGGGCAGCGCCGCTGTGCCAGCGCCCGCGGCAGCGCCTGGCCCTGCAGGAAGGAGGAGTTGAGGAACATGGAGAGGACGGAGGCGCTGGCCGTCTCCACGCCGGTGGAGATGTTGGGCACCTCGTCGTCGTCGAAGCAGCCGGAGTCGGAGGCGTAGTCCTTCACCAGGCTCTCCATGTGCCGCATCGGCTTCTTGGCGCTCTGGCCCTTCAGGCTCTGCTTCTCCATGGTGTCGAAGGTCTCAGCCAGGTGTTTGGCGTCCAGCTCGGCCTCCAGCGCCTTCTGCTTGCGCATGTAGAGCGAGGGCATGCAGGAGCCCGGTGACACCACGGCCGCGTCCTTGTACTTGGGGGGCCGGTTGGTGAGGAGGTTGCGCAGCGCGGCCGCGCTGCCCATGGCGATCATCTTGTGCTTGGAGTGGATGAGGTTGCGGAGCATGCTGACCGCCCCCAGGTCCCACAGCAGCTCCTGGTCGCGGGGGCTGCGGGCTGACAGGTTCCAGAGGGTGCCGCAGGCGTTGCTGACGATGGTCAGGCTGTGCGAGCGCAGGTGCTGCAGCAGCGTCTGCAGGCAGTTGTGGTCCCGGAGCACCTGCCTGCGGGACAGAGGGGACCCCCCCGGCCATCAGGGTGGTCCTGGATCCACTCCCTGCCCCATTCCAGGGGTGCAGGGTGACCCCACCCCTGCCCAGCCATCCCCCCAGTGCTGTTGCTGGGGTCTGCAGTGCCCTCCGATCCCGCAGCACCCCCCAACACCACCACTGGTGCCCAGGGTCCCCCATCTCCATCCCCCTTGTACCTGCAGCCATATCATCCCTTGGTGCCATCCTGGGGTCCATAGAGCCTGGGATCCCCTCTTCCCATCCTACTCCCAGCTGCAGCATCCCCCAATGCCATCCCTAGGTCCGTGGTGCCCTCAGGTGTGGCCCCACCCCGTGATGCCCCTCACCTGTAATCCTCCCGTGTGGCAACGAGGCTGGAGACGTTCCTGAGGATGCCACCGCCGCTCTCGATGATGGCCAGGGAGTTGCTCTGGCACTTGTAGGTGAGGGTGCTGACCAGGAAGCCCAGGGCCCCCTCCACCCCACAGATGGCCGCCTTGTTCTCCGTGCTGTGCGCCGAGAGGTTCCACAGAGCACTCAGGACGCTCTTCAGCGTCGACTCCTGCCCCGGGAGGGGACACACAACTCCTGTCAGTCCTGTCCTGTCACCCTGTGCCTGCTGTCACCCACCCCAGGGGGACACACAGCCCTGCCAGGTCTGTCTGGTCACTGTGCCCTCTGTCACCCACCCCAGGCTCACCTTGCCGGCGTGCAGGGCACAGCGCATCAGCCCGGTGACGCTGCCCACCTCCCGCAGCACCTTCTTGCTGTTGATGTCAGCGCGCCAGGAGAGGTTCCTCAGGATGCTGGAGACCACCTGGAGAGGCAGAGCGGGGTGAATGGGCACAGGGACTGTCCCCCTACCTGTCCCCCACCACAGGGAGCCCCACCAGCACCCACCTGGTGCAGCTCTTCGCTGTCGGAGCCCAGCTGAGCCACGATGGCCTCCATGCAGCCCCGGCGGGAGCACAGCGTGGCCTGTGGGGAGGACAAGGTGGTGAGGGTGACACTGCAACCCCTAGACTCTGCTGATGCTCCCCAGACCCTGCCGATGTCCCCCAGACCCTGCTGATCTCCCCCACACCCTGCTGATGTCCCCCAGACCCTGCTGATCTCCCCAAACTCTGCTGATGCCCCCCAGACCCTGCTGATCCCCCCAAACTCTGCTGATGCCCCCCAAACCCTGCTGATCCCCCCAAACTCCACTGATGCCCCCCAGACCCTGCTGATGCCCCCCAAACCGCCTCCCCCCACCTTGTTGACCACATCTCCGAAGGTGAGGTTGGTGAGGGCCATCCCCGCGTAGCGGCGCAGCGCCAGGTTCAGGGGGTCGTTGGTCATCTTGTGCATCTCGTAGTCCACCTGCAGCAGCTCGGCCACGGCCTGCAGCCCACCTGTGGGGCGGGGCAGGGGTCATTTGGGGTTCCCCCACCTCCAGCAGCCCGTCTGGGTGTGGTGCAGAGGGAAGGAGCCCCCTCCCCGCGCTCACCCAGCTCGTTCATGGCCCGCCGGTACTCCTCGTCGAAGGACAGCTTCATGATGGCACAGGTGGCCTGGCAGATCTGGGGCTCGATGGGCACTGGCACTGCGGGGGGATGAGGGTCAGTCCCCTGTGGCACACACGATGCTCCCAGCCCCTCCCAGCACGCGTGGTTCCCTCCCGCCCCTACCGGCGCCCTCGGGGCCCCGTGCCCCGTCCCGGCTCTGCATCTGCAGCCAGTCCCAGCAGGTCTCCGAGTAGGAGCGGATCTGCTCCAGCACGTGCAGCACCCGCATCTCCTTCTTGGCCTGGCCCTCGTCGGGCTGGGAGAAGACGATGTTGTGCAGGGCAGCGTTGGCTCTCATCCGCGCGTCCTTGGCGCCCGTGGGGCTCTCGGGGGGCCCCGGCTCCCCGTCGGAGTCGTGCAGGATCTGGATGAGCAGGGGCAGGCAGCCCGACTTGCGCATGGCCAGGCAGCTCTCCTGCGAGCTGGACATGGCCAGCAGCGTGCGGGACATGTCCTCCTTGTCCCGCGTGGCCAGCATGGACAGCAGCCAGAACACCACCTCCACCTGCGGGGGGCACACGGGGTCACGCTCAGCCCCACCGCGGGCTCGGCCCAGCCCAGCCGGGCTCCGGCTGCTGCCCCTCACCTTGGTGTTGCCACCCTCCTCGGGGTGGGTCGGGGGGTCCAGGCTGCCGTCCCCCTCCATGCCTGGGACCTTCCCACAGAGCTGCAGAGGAGGGGCAGGTGGGTGGGGGGCTGCATTGCAGCGCCCTCGCCCCCCTGCCCAGCCCCTCCCCACTTTCCTGCCACCCCCTGCCGTCCCCAGCCATTGCTTCCATCAGTGCCAGGGCTGTGTTTTTGTTGTTTTAGGTTAAATCGGGGATGATTGGGATGGGGGAGCTGCTGCAGGCGTGGGCTCAGGGAAGGGAGAGCGTGGGTGGGCAGCGGGGAGGGGGCTGGGGCTGAGCCTGGGGAGTGATGGAGGCGTTGGAAACGGGGGCTGAGAGGATCTGGGGGTGTCTGGGGATGATGGCAGCTGTGGGCGTTGCCATGAGGGGCTGTGGGTGACAGTGGGACAATGACAGTGGCAGCCCGTGATGGTGACAGTGGCAGGGCTGTGGGGGACAGTGGAACAATGGCGATGGCAGCCTTGATGGTGACAATGGCAGAGCTGTGGGTGAGAGTGGCACAATGACAGTGGCAGGGCTGTGGGTGACAGTGGGACAATTGCAGCCTGTGATGGTGACAGTGGCAGAGCTGTGGGTGACGGTGGGAAAATGACAGTGGTGAGGCTGTGGGTGACACTGGGACCATGGCAATGGCAGCCTGTGATGGTGGCAGTGGCAGGGCTGTGGGTGACAGTGGGACAATTGCAGCCTGTGATGGTGACAGTGGCAGAGCTGTGGGTGACGGTGGGAAAATGACAGTGGTGAGGCTGTGGGTGACACTGGGACCATGGCAATGGCAGCCTGTGATGGTGGCAGTGGCAGGGCTGTGGGTGACAGTGGGACAATGGCAGCCTGTGATGGTGACAGTGGCAGGGCTGTGGGTGACAGTGGGTCCGTGGCAGTGGTGGGGCAGTGGGTGACAGCGTGGCGTTGGTGATGGCAGCCCATGACGATGATGATGGCGGTGGAGCTGTGGGTGACAGTGGGACAGTGACAGTGGTGAGGCTGTGGGTGACACTGGGACCATGTCGATGGCAGCCCATGGCGATGACGATGACGATGACGATGGCAGGCTGCCCACCCTGGCGTCCCCGTCGGCGGCAGATGCCGCGGGAGCCCCCGCGCCGCCCGCCCGCCATGGCCTACTTCTGGTCTCCATGGCAACTGCCCATTTCACGGTGCCCGAGCCACACAAAGCCCTGGCTGTGCCGATGGGGACAGCGCGGGGACAACGGCGGGGGGGCCGTGCTGGCCCCCTCCTCCACCCTTCCTGGCTCCATGGCCCCGCAGGGAACAGGGACGCCCCGGCCCCGCTACCTGCGGCTCCGGCTGCTGCGCCTTGTCCTGCGCCTCCATCAGCTCCTTGTCGATCTGCTCCAGCCGGGATGCCCGGATCTGGGGGGCACAGAGGGCGTTGGAGAGGGCTGGGACCCCCCAGGACCACAAGAAAAGGGAGGGATGGGTGTAGGGATGCAAGGAACGGGGTGTGAGGGTGTAAGGAGCTGGAGTAGGGTGTGAGCAGCTGGTCTAGGGCTCCCAGAGCTGCTTGTGAGGGTACCCAGAGTTGAGCCCATCAGTCTGGGGCCCCCCAGAAGCCGAGCAGGAGGAGTTTGGGGGTGAAGGACCCGACCTGTGCCCTCTGCACCATCTCGTCGGCCGTGCCGAAGCGTTCCTCCATCAGCGAGCGGATGTGCTGCGCCTCGAACTGCAGCTGCTGCCGGATCAGATCCATCTGCATGGAGAACTGCGGGCACCGGGGGTGCCGTGAGCGGGGCAGGCTCCGGCCAGCTCCCCGTGGCCTCGGGGGGCACAGGGGGTGTCCCCCACTCACCGTCTCCACGTGGGGCAGCTCGTCCAGGCGCGTGGCCAGGCTCTGCAGCTGCGCGTAGTACCAGACCTTCTCCTTCTCCTCCTTCTCGATCTCCCCCAGCAGGAAACACCTGCCGAGAGGGGAGGACGCCATCAGCACAACCCCCGGGGCCCCCCCCAGCCCCTTTTACCCCCCAGACCATCACCTCTCCCGGTCCAGCTCCTCCAGCATGCGGAAGGTGGCCCTGCCCAGCTCCCCGGGGCCGTCCCGGTGCGGGCCGGGGGCGGGCGGGCTCTCCTCGGCACCGCGCCCGCCGCTCGTCGCCTCCGGGGCGAACTTGAGGTTGTAGAGGCTGGTGATGTCCATCTGCAGGGCTGGGGAAGGGGACAGCGGTGTCAGGGTGGGCTTGGCGGGGTCTCCCCCTCCCCACCCTGCCTGGGCACCCACCTTTGAGCTGGTCCAGCACCTCGGTCTGCCCCGAGGACACCATGACTCGGGCCTCCTGCTCCAGCTTGCCCTGGAGGTGCTTCAGGACCTCCTGAAACAGGGGTGCAGCCATTGAGGATGGGGAGACGTGGATGGAACCCCCGCATTTCGGGGCCTGTGCCCCGCCCCCAGCCGGGCCTGTCCCCACCTTCATGTCCGAGGTCTCATTTTCCAGCTTGGAGAGGTGGTTGGAGTTGTCCTCCAGCTCCCGCCGGAGGTGGCTGTTCTCCTTCTTCAGCGCCTCCACCTGCCGCACCAGCTGGTCGTACGAGGCGATGGAGCCGGACATCTTCACCTCCTGCAGCGCCTGCGGGGGGGTTTGGGGGTGGGCAGCACCCGGGGGGCTCCCCAGCACCCCCACAGCCCCCCGGGACCTGCCGGGGAGCACGGCACAGCGCTGGGCACCCCACCACCCGCACCCCCCGAGCCCTGGAAGAGCCGGTGCCCCCAAACCCCCCCAGAGGGGCGGCTCCGGCTCAGGGTGGGGTCCAGGGCCCCCCAGCGCCCCCAGCCCCCGCCTGCTTCCAGCCTCCGCAGAGCTCCGCTCTCCGCTCCCTTTGTCTCGCTTTTGTCTTCTCCCTCTCCCAACCTTCTCCCGCTCCGCTCCCTCCGGCTCCGGGGGCAGCCCCGGCCCCTCCACGGCCCCCCCGGCCTCCTGTGCACACCCCCAAACCTTCCCAGCCTCCCTGTGCCCCCCCAACCACCCCCAGCCCCCCCAAACCTCCTCTTGCCGCAGCGCCCACCGCCCCTCGCACCTGCCCGGGGGGGGCACACACGACGCTGTCACACGCGGGGAGGGGGAGCCGGGGACCCCTCGCTGCCCCCCCCGAGGGTCGTGCCGGCAGCGGGAGCCCGACGGCCCCCGGAGCCTTCGTCAGCACCACGTGTGAGCGGGGGGAGCCGGCAATGGGGGGGCGATGGGGACGGGGGCTCCCCCCTCCCCTCGGCTGCCCCCACCCCACATCCCCCCACACAGCGGGGCAGGGGCGGCAGCGATCGCCCCCCCCCGGCTCTGACACCCCCAAATCTGCTCACGGCAGATCCCTGGGGCCCTTCCGCTTCCGCCAGTCCTTTTGGGTGTCCCAGCACCCCCTTCCAGCACAGAGGCCCCACCCGGCAGTGGTGGGACCCAGCGACCCCCCCAGGACCCCCCATCGGTGTCCTTCACACCCCCAGGAGCCATCCCGGGCCCCCCCAAACTGCTCCTTCACCCCTGCACCCCACAGCGCTGGGGGACCCCACATCCTGCCCTATGGACCCTGCTGTGGGGTGCCCCCCTCCCCCCACCCAGATCTGCCCGTGATTCCCGGGGGAGACAAAGACCCCCATGGTGTCAATCCCCCCCCAGCTGCCGAAAATTCCCCCCGGAAAAGAAACAACCTCGGGCAGAGGGTGGGGAGCAGAGGAAGGGGGGAGGTGTGGGATGAGGGATGAGGGATTGGGGGTGCAGGGTGGACAAGGAGGGAATTCGGGAGGGGGAGGGATGCAGGGGGAGAGGGATGCAGGAATGGGGAATGCAGGGAGAGGGATGCAGGAATGGGGAATGCAGGGAGAGGGATGCAGGAATGGGGAGTGCAGGGAGAGGGATGCAGGAATGGGGAGTGCAGGGAGAGGGATGGGGGATGATGGGTGCAGGATATGGAATGTGGGATGCAGGGTGAGGGGTGAGGGATGTGGAAGGGAGGACGCCACAGGAGGGAGGTGGGGTGATGGATGAGGGATGCGGGATGCAGGATAATGGATGCGGGATGCGGGATAGGGGATGCGGGATGAGCACGGCCTGCTGTTGCTATGGCGACAGTGATGGGGGAGCACAGGCGGTTCCCGGCCCTTGCTGAGGGCTCAGACGTGGAGGATGGGGGTGTTCAGCCCTGTCAGCGATAACGGGAGCCGGGGGCTTCCACTCTTCCAGGGGAACACGTTCCCCCCTCCCCAGCACCCCAAACCTGTGGGTTCCCACCCAGCTGCTCAGCCCGGGCCCCCTCCCCTGGGAGAACCCCACCCTGTAAGAACCCAGCTGCCCTCCCGGGGGGTCAGGGCTGGGATATTCGGGGGGTTGATGGAGGGGGGGCTGAGCTCTGCTCCCCCCGGTTCCTGGCAGCGCCGGCTGAGCGCAGCGGCCGCAGCGGCGCCGGGATCTGCAGCCTGCGGGGAGGGGCTGGGGCCGCACCTGCATCCACAGAGCGGCGAGACAGCGGGAAAGGGGGGCCAGGGCTGCGGGAAAGGGGGGCCAGGGCTGTGGGAAAGGGGGGCCAGGGCTGCAGCTCCATTCCAGCACTGTGATGGTCACTGTCCCACAGGACCTTGTGTCCCCCCACGGGATGCATCCCAGGCAGGACCCTGGGGTGATGTGATGCCTCAGGGTCCTGGGTGTGTCTCCTCCTATCCCCAAAATCTCCCTCTCTCTGCTGAGGGCACCCCAGGACTGGCCGAGGCCGCTGGTGGGGCCTGGATCCATCCAGCAATTTCCTGGCAGGGCAGATGCTGCTGCAGATGAAGCAGCAGCTGCACTGCCCAGCACACCCTGCTGTCCTCCACGCTGCCCAGGATGCCCACTGCCCATCCCACTGCCCACAGTGCCCACTGCCCACCACCCCACCATCCTCTGTTCATCACTGCAGTGCCTTGCCCACCAGCCACTGCCCACCACATGTGATGCCACCTTGGGCAGAGCCACCTTGGCCTGGGCAGGGCAGGGCAGGGCCTGGGGAGCCCTGGGGGTACCCCAAGCTCCCTGCACCCCTCGCTCACTCCAGCCTGGCAGCAGCTCTGCGGGTGAGGCGGGGGACAGGGACTGCAGCCGTGAGTGCGGCCGCGTCGCCAAAGGCACAGCTGAGCCCCGGCTGCGGCTCCTGCAGCCCCCGGGGACATTAAACAAACAGCGTGTTGTCACCAGCCCGGCCTGATCGACCCGGCCCCGGGGACCCCCGACCACAGCAAACCCCCCCCAGGGAGCACAGGCCCCCCCCAGCTCGACCCTGCACACATGTGGGGGCCCACACAGGACATGGGGATTTGGGATCCATCACCCTCTCCTCACACAGCACCTGCACACACACACACAGGGACATCGTGGCCCGGGGATGGATGTGGGGCCCTGGTGGGGCGAGCACTGGGGTCCTCAACACGCCCAGCACAGCCCCCTCACAATGCAGGGCCCCCCTTATCCACCCCACACCCCAGGAGCCAGCGGGGTGGAACGTGCAGCCACCTCCCCCACGCCATCCAGGGTGACTGGGGACACCCCTGCTTGGGGACACGGCTCTGGGACCCTTGGGGTGCCCCTTGGGTGGGGTTGATGTGCTGGTTTAGAGGCCGAGGATTTTGAGGGACCGGTTTGGGAGGTGGATTTGGGCTGTGGGTTTGTGGGGAGGGTTTGGGGGGCTGGCTTGGGTGAGGTTTTGGGGCTCCAAGTCCGGGGCTCAGCCGCAGTGCCCGGCCCTGCCGTGCCGGGGGAGCATCGGGAGGGGGGGTCTGCAGGGAGCCGAGCTCGCATCGAGGCGGGGGGAGCAGCTGTCACCCCAGGAACGACCCCCCCGCCTTGCCCGCAAGATGGGGATGGGATGGGAGTGGGGATGGAGATGGGATGGGGGTGAAGGTGAGAATGGGGACGGGGGATGCTGCGCCCTCTTCCCCCCCTCCCGTGGACTCCCTGCCGAGCCCCGGCATTGTCCGGCCTTTGTTCCTGCAGGATGCAGGGGGTAAACGCTGCCCGACCCTCCCGATTCCCCCTGAACCCCCTGATTTGCCCTGAACCCTCCTGTCCCCCAATATCTCCCCGATCCCCCCGGTCCCGCGGGACGGAGCCGCGCCCGCCGCAGGACGCAGCACAGCCAGGGCCGGGGGCATCCCCGCCGCGGGGAGGGGGCGCAGATCGAGCCCCCCGGCGCATCCAACCCCCCGCAAGCCGACACCGCACCCTGATCCCCCCCGGCCCCGCGGCGCAGCCCCTCCCGCTTTTCCCCATCCCCGGCGGCCGCAGCGGCCGGAGCCGCCGGGACCCCCGGGGGGCTCGGGGGGCGCGGGGGGCAGGTGCGGCCGTACCTCATTCCCGGCGGTGCGGAGCCGTGCGGGGCGGTGCGGAGCGGTGCGGAGCTGGGCGAGGCTCCGGCGCGGCCCCGAGCAGCCGCATCCCGCCCCCGCCCCCCCGCTCTCGGTCGGGATTTTCCAGCGGCTCCGCCGCCGTTAGAGGGCGGCACCGGGGGCTCCCCGCGCCCCCCCGGACTGTGCCGGGCGGGGGGAGACGGGACCCCCCGGGAGGGCTCCGTTCCCCTCCATCCGCCTCTTTTCCAGCCTCCGCAAAAACGCCGGGATCTGCCCCGTCCCCGTGTCCCGGAACGCACCTGCCGCTCCCGACCGGACCGGTCCCTCCAGACCGAACCTGCCCCCTCAAACCGAACCGGTCCCACCGACCGAACCTGCCTCCTCCGGCCGAACCGGCCCTCCCGACCGAATCTGTCCCCCGCGAGCCGCCCGGTGCCACCCCCGTGTCCTTGGGGACACACCCAAGGTGCGGCAGCAGCGGCTGAGCCCCGGGGTCCCCCCCGGGATGAGCGGGACCCTCACGACGACCCCTCTGCAGCCGATCCCTCCCGTGACCATGGCTTCTGCCATGTGCTCAGGCCACTGTCACCCACCGAGGTCACTGCCACCCACCTCGCAGCTGGGGCATCCCGGCCTTCCAGGCATCCCCACACGGCCCCAGCAGGACAGTGACCCAGCAGGACAGTGACCCAGCAGGACAGTGACCACAGCAGGACAGTGACTGACCGGGACAGTGACCCACCAGGACAGTGACCGAGCGGGACAGTGACCCAGCAGGACAGTGACCCCAGAAGGACAGTGACTCACCAGGACAGTGACCATAGCAGGACAGTGACCACAGCAGGACAGTGACCCCAGCAGGACAGTGACCAGGACAGTGACCCCAGCAGGACAGTGACCCACCAGGACAGTGACCCACCAGGACAGTGACCCAGCAGGACAGTGACCCCAGCCCTCCTGTCCCCGCCGCCACCAGCGAGGGTGGGAGCAGGACTCTCAAGGTCACATTGCTTGAACAAAAAGGGACCCGGAGCCTGGGGACATTCCCTGAAGGACACACGGCCCAGGCACCACTGGCCACTGGAATGGGATTTGGAAGGTGTGAGTCTTAAAGAGCTGGACCTGGCCCCGAGGGACCCCTGAGCAGTCCCCAAGGGACCCAGCCAGCAGCAGGGACAAGGCAAAACCACCCTGGGGACAAATGTCCCTCTCCACTGATGGATTCACCGGAGGACTTGGCGCTGGTGGCCAGCACTGGGTTCATTTGGCTCAGTTCAGGGACAAACCAGATCATCCACCTGAGATGAACTCCTCATCTCCTCCTCCTTTCCATCATCATCACCCCTGAGCATCCCCCATAACACATCCCTCCCTCCCAGCCTGGGCTGCAAACCCTCTGCTCACCCCCCACCCCATGCCACTCTGTGATCCCTGTCACCAAAAGCCTTTGGGTTCCCAAAGGACAAAATAATCATTTGGGGTTTTGACATCCCGTGATGGGCCGTGGCAGCTTCTCCTGGGACTGGGGCTGGTTCTGAGCCTGGGAACCCCCCCTGCCTTCCCCCAGTTCCACAGCTCCGCATTCCCAGTATTTATATTAACAAATAAACGGCAATGCTGCAAATATTAAAGTGCAATTCCAGTAAATGTTCCCAGTGAAGAACAAGGAATTTAATTCATTCACTAAACCCACATGAAGATGATTTGTTTGCTGCAGGTGCTGACAGAAATCAGTGCCAAAAACCTGGCAATACTCAGGGAAACATCCAAAGACGGTGGAGTGGAGTTCAGCACACCCCAGCCCAAGGAATGGAGAGGCAGGAGACAGGATCCAGGTGGAAATTCTTTATTTACACTGCAGGAGGCTCCCTCCCGGAGTTACTTGAGCGGGATGAAGCGGGAGGAATGGGTGGCACCGATGCCAGGCCTGCCGTGCTTCACTGGCTTGTACGTGATGGAGAACTCGCCCAGGTAGTGGCCGATCATCTCGGGCTGCAAGTGGAGAGATCCGTGCTGGGGACAGAGCCAGGGGGCACGGGGACATCCCCCTCCCATCCCCATCCCAGGGCTGCCAGGAGCCTGGCACAGCCGGTTATTCCAGCTGGGCTCCTCCCCTGGTGCCCTGATGGAGCCAGAGGGGCTTCCCCAGCTCTGCCCCTCCTGGGAATGGTGACACGGGAGCCACAGGGCCATTTGTGCCCTTCCAGGTGGGACTGAACGCCAGGTAGGAGCAAGAAATGGCATTTAATCCCACTGGTGGCATCAAGTGACAGCACCCCCCGGGTAATTCCACTCCTGGGAAAGCTCAGGGATCTGTTTCATCCCGAAACAGTGCTGGCAGCCAGGCCTGAGCACATGGATCACTCCACAGCTACTTCAGTGCTTCAGAGCCACACTTGAGACCCCTCTGGGATGACACCTCCAGGTGTCCCCCTGAGCCAACCCTGCTCCAAGAAGGAGCCTGGATCCCCAGACACAGGGAACGAGCAGGATTTACAAAGAGTTACAAGTGAACGCTCTGGCTGCTGAGCTCAGTGCGAGAGCCACCTGCCAGGCCCAGCTCACCTTGATCTCCACCTGGTTGAAGGTCTTGCCGTTGTAGACGCCCACCATGCTGCCCACCATCTCGGGCAGGATGATCATATCCCTCAGGTGGGTCTTCACCACCTCGGGCTTCTCCATGGGCGGCGCCTCCTTCTTGGCCTTGCGCAGGCGCTTGAGCAGCGAGTGCTGCTTGCGCCGCAGGCCCCGGTTCAGGCGCCGCCGCTGCCGCGCGCTGTACAGCTGCATCAGCTGCTCGCTGCAGCGGGACAGGGACGGCTCAGGGACAGCCCCGGGACCCCTAACAGCCCAGGGACCCCTAACACAGCCTGGGGACAGCCCTGGGACCCCAAACACAGCCCAGGGACCCAAACCCAGCCCAGGGAGAGCCTTGGGACACTGAACTGAGCCTGGGGAGAGCCCAGGGACCCCTACCCCAGCCCCGGGACCCCACACACAGCCTGGGTAAAAGCCCAGGGACCCCAAACCCAGCCTGGGGACAGCCCAGGGACCCCAAACACAGCCTGGGGACAGCCCCGGCACCCCTAACAGCCCAGGGACCCCTAACCCAGCCTGGGGACAGCCCAGGGACCCCAAACACAACCTGGGGACAGCCCTGGGACCCCAAACACAGCCCAGGGACCCAAACCCAGCCCAGGGAGAGCCTTGGGACACTGAACTGAGCCTGGGGAGAGCCCAGGGACCCCTAACCCAGCCCCGGGACCCCACACACAGCCTGGGTAAAAGCCCAGGGACCCCAAACCCAGACTGGGGAAAGCCTCAGGACCCCAAACCCAACCTCGGGAACAGCCAAGGGACCCCAAATTGATCCTGGGGAACAGCCCAGGGACTCCAAACCCAGCTTGGGGAGCAGCCCAGGAACCCCTAACTCAGCCTGAGGAACAGCCCAGGGGACACACCAAACCCAGCCAGGGCAACGGCCCAGGGACCCCAAACCCAGCCCAGGGACCCCAAACCCAGCCTGGGGAACAGCCCAGGGACACCCCAACCCAGCCTGAGCTACAGCCTGGGGAGAGCTCAGAGACCCCACAGCCACAGAATCACCCAGACGGAGTGTGGGGTACAGCCCCAGGAGACGGCCAGGGACCCCGAAATGAACTTGGGGAACAGCCCACAGACACCCCCAGGGACCCCGAACTGAGCCCGGGGAACAGCCCAGGAACAACCCCCAGGGACCCCGAACTGAGCCTGGGGTACGTCCTGGAGAGACCCCCCAAGGGTCAAGGTGAGCCGGGGTACAGCCCCGCGGAGACCCCAAAGTCTGTGTCAGCCAGACTGAGATGGGGTAGACAGCAGGGAGACCCCCAGGGACCCCACACCCCCAGCATCACCCGAACTGAGCCGCGAACAGGCCGCCGGGACCCCACACTGGCGGTGTCACCCACTGAGGGACTTTAAACAGCCCAAAAAGCAGCTGTGGAACACCCAAAGCCCCGTTACTGCCGGGATTTGAACACAGCCTGAGTATGGGGCAGAACCGGCTCCCCCCACCCCCAAACCCCAGCCCGGGGGCTCCGCAGCCCTTACTAGGACATGTCGAGCAGCTGGTCCAGGTCCACCCCGCGGTAGGTGAACTTGCGGAAGGTTCGCTTCTTCTTCTGCTCCACCTCCGCCTGCAGCGGGACACGAAGGTCGGCTCAGGGCAGGGCCCGGCAGAAGAACCAGGGGATTCAAGGCCGCCCGGCCCCGCGCTCCCCGCCCCGCACACGGGAAGGCCGCGGCCCCACCGAGCTCAGGGGGGCGCCCAGGCCGCTCCCTCCCCTCAGCCCCGCTCCCGCCGCGCTGGGCCCCGGCCGGCCCCCGCAGCGCCCCGGTGAGGCCCATTCCCCATCCCCCAGGGAAGCCCCGAGGCCCGAGCGGCGCTGCCGCGGCGGGTGAAGCGCGGATGGCGGCGGATGGGGCCCGATGGCGCCGGCGGGGCCTCCCCCGCACCCACCATCTTGGCCGGGGCTGCTCGGAAAGGCCGCGCTCGCGCCGGAAGCGGCAGATCTCGCGAGAGCGGCGCGGGCGGAACGGGCGGAGAAGCCGCGGCCGGGCAGCGCTTCCGCCCTCACTGCCCTTAAAGGGGCCGCAGCCCGGCGACAGCTGCGAGGGACGCAGCCTCCTCTTCCCCCCGAACCTGCCCCTGGTGATCCAGGGAAATCTCGGGTTCCAATGAAACCGCTCCTTCCCGCTGGCCTAAGCTGGAACCCAGCAGTGACAGGTCACAGTCACCTGGATGGCAGCGCCAAGGGACAACGTGGGCCTCGCAGCCACTCCCGGCAGCTCCGAGCATCCCGCGCCTTTGGAAGCCACCCGTGTCCAGCCGTGGAGCTCCACCGTCCCACGGCAGCCAGCAGCTGCGGGGTGAGGCGGGGACATGCCGGGCAGGGCCCAGCACAAGCGGCTCGTTGGCACAGGCTGATCCGGTCTGGACCAGGAGGCTCCAGATCTAACGGCCCACGCGGGCCTGGAGGAGCTGGCTCTGCACAGACAGGGGCCAAAGACAAAGGCTTTTATCCCAGGTGTTGGGTGCTCTCCGTTGCAGGCTCCAGGGTGGTGCTGTGCCATTTCCGTGGTTTCAGCTCCTGGGGGAGTCCAGTTGGTCTCAGAAGTGACACCTGCACAGACAGCCCTGGAGCAGCTCCTGTTCCAGCAGGAATTTCGAGCTCACGGATGTAACGGAGCAAGGAGCAGAGCCGTGGGGATTGGAGCCTGGAGGATTCACAGTGAGCAGAACCAGAGCCACACAAAATATCAAACTCCCTCTGAACAGATGCAAGTCCTGCCAGGAGCGATGCAGTGGCCTCCACATCCCAGCCCCACCTCGTTAACAGTGATTCATTATCAAAGCTCTTCGAGGGGCTGGATCTGAGCCGGGCTGCAGGATCCCTCCCCAGGTCAGATCCCATGGACAGTGGCTTCCTGGCAGTGCCACCCTGCAGGGCAGGGGCACAGCTGGTGACACCACACAGGCCCAGCAAAGCTGCCCCGAGGACTCCCAGGGCTGCCAAGGGACTTCTCCAGAAAACCCACACTCACAAAAGCAAAAAAAACCAGAAAAATGGAGACAGGCTGGTGTTTCTAATCCAAAGGTTCTTGTCTTTATTCAAACCAGGGCTTGGCACTGCTCAGTGCCAAACGCACCAAAACCTTTTTGCCTGAGGGAAATCCACACGTGGCCGAGGCCTCGGGAGGGGAGGCAGGTGGAGCCGGAGCCAGCGCTCCCCACGTGCCTCTGAGCAGCTCCTGCGCCCGGCCTGGCCCAGCTCTGCCCCCAGAACAAACAGCAAAATACACTCAGCAGGTTTCTGTCAACTCCCAGAGTTTCGGAACCCTCCGCCCCAGCACTGCCGTGGGGAGGGAGGGAGGGAGGGGCTGCAGCTCTTCCCCCGCCTCCGACAGCGCTCAAGGAAACCCTGTTTTAAATTAAAAAATAAGCCAGCATACATAGTAGAAAATTTCTCTTAAAAATTTCACAATCTGTAAATGTATATATTTTTTTTTCTTTTAAACATAAAAGTTTACAATATACGGTAAAACAAAGGCTCAGGAAAAATAATTTCAAAAAAAAGAAACCTGAAGTTTTGAATTAAAGCTGAAGACATTTTTAAAACCCTGTAATTTGAACCAGTGACATTTTCTTTATTTGTGCTGATGGGTTAGAGAAAGTAAAATCTTTAAAAACTGCAGTCCAAACACCCACAGCTCTGCCTTCAGAAGCCATCTGCCCCCAACCCCCCCCCCTCCCCGCCCCGAAAAAAACTGTTGTTAGGTTTATCTTCCATCAAGTAATGTGATTGTCACAAGTTCAGAAGTCTGGGATCCCGGGCTTCAGCTGTGCCCAGAGGTCCCTGTGGGCAGCACTCCCTGATTGCCAGCCCAGGCTAGCGCCGGTAGGGGTGGAATCCTTGCACGTTGTGGTTCTGTCCCCGGCCGAAGCCGCTGCCTCCGGCTGGGGGGCCGCTGGATGGCTGCACCGAGGGGCCTCCGTAGGGAGGGGGCTGCTGGCTGGGATCAGAGAAACCTTGTCCAAACCCACTCAAGTCTTGTCCATACCCTGGGGAGAAGGGAAAGATACAGGATGAGCTTCCAGGTGCAGCCATGGGTGTGAGTCCCACAGCGGACAGCGTTCCCCGGCAGGAACACACCCCAGAGCATCACCCGGGAGGAGCAGCAGCTCTGGGGTCCTGCAGGGATCTTCCCTCCTCACAGAGGAAACGGGCAAAAAGCAGAGGGGAACAGGTGTGCAGGAAGGGGGAGCTGTGTTTGGGGTAATCCCAGCCAGGCTGGCAGGTCAACCATCTGCTCACAGCTTTGGGGTGCGTGGGAGCAGTTTGATTTTGGGTTGGGACCTGCACCACAGGCCACTCTGGAGTGAGCAGAATTTAGGGACAGGGAGAAAAACAGGGGTTTCCTTTCCAAGGACTGGCTGGAATCCCTGCTACCAACACAAAAATTTACAACTAGATGTAAATTAAGACGACTGAGAAATTGAGAAATTTAAATCAAATTCTCATAATTAAATATGACTCTTAATCCTGGCATCAGTGCCAGCCCCTGCTCTGAAAGACGCTATTAAGGCTCCTAATTACCAAGAGCATTTGTGCAGGGCTGCCTCTCTCTCTGCAGGCTTACAGCAGGTTTAACTCTCTTAATCCCAAACAAAGTCTCTTAGCACATCTTCAGCAGTTCAATTTCAAGCTCTGCCAGTCCCTCAAGGACTTGCTGGCACTAATGAGCACTAAAACACAGCAAGCTGGGGCTCTGGGAGCTGCAAATGCTCCTCCTGGCATTTGTTCAGACACAGATAAGCAGGAGCCCAAACCTACAACGGGATTGTCTGCCGAGGGGTGAGGCTGGGAGTGGAAAAACACAACCCTGGAGTTGCTCTCCCTGCACGGTGGTGTGCAAACCACAGCTCAGCACAGGGCTCAGGTTGTTTATGAAGAAGGAAACCCACAGCACACACCTGCACAGGCACTCAGGACTCACCGAGTGCCACGCCTGGCTCTGCTCCAGCCCCTCTGCTCCCCCCTGGGCTGTGCCAGCTGTGTGCTTTGAGTGTCTGGCTCCAAACCCGAGCCTGGATGGATCACCAGGATAAATAAGGGCTGGCCTGGCAGGCAGAGCTCACTGTGGGGTTTCACCCCAACATCTGAATCCTGTCCCTGCCTCTCACCCTTTCCCACAGCCCCAGCAAGGAACTCCAGGGAATTTTCCCAGGACCTGCCTGAGGCTCCTCCTCCCTGCTCAGCCTGACCTTGGGAGTGCAGACAAAGCTTTGGGGTGTGGCCTGAAGGGTCTGGAGCAGACAAACCCATCCTAGTCACAACTGAGGGGACTGCAAGGATGAGCCTCAAGAGTGCCCTGCATGGAGATAATGAATTTTTAATTATTTTAAATTAATGTAATTAATTTGATTTTGCAGGGTGTTAGTGCTGACACTCATCCTGGGTGCACACACTGAAGGATTTGGGACACTGCCCAGGATAAAAGTTACAGTGCCTTCTGCTCATTAGGGAAATTTGTGGCTCTTTAAAGCCCACAAGCTTTACACATTTATGTAAATATATGCAAATCAGGGACACTTCCAGGGATGGGGCAGCCACAGATTCTCTGGAAAACCTGTGCCAGGGTCTCAACAGCCTCACAGTGAAGAAGTTTTTCCTAATATCCACTGTAAACCTATTCTTTTCCACATTAAAGCCATTTCCCTTGTCCTGTGACCACAGCTCCAGATGAAGAGTCCTTCTCCATCAGATCCTTCCTAAACTTCCAACACCTCCCAAACTCTGGCTCCTCACTGATGTAACTGACTGTGCAGGGATTTCTGCTTTATTTAGAAGAGTCCAACCCACTCCAAAAAGAATCTGCAAAGAGCCAAGTTCTGGCAGAACAAGAAAAACTTTGAGTCACAAGGGCAAAACTATCCATGAAATCAGCCGGGTAAGAAACAAATGAAAAAACATTTCAAACTCATAACATGAGGACATGCTGCATCACAAACACATCTCAAAGGCTCATCTTCCTTCAGAGGCTGCTGCTTTACATTGCAGGAACTTTGAATATTATCTATTTGAATAAATGTTGTGAAGTTTTCACCTCACAGCAGTTTCTGCAGGAACTTGAGGCAGCACTACCACATGGAGAACGTGTTCCAGCAGAGAACAGCCTGAATCCACAGGCTGCTGCATGCAAAATTCTCTTCAGAAGTAAAAACTGACCAATTACAATCCCTTAAAAACAACATTAGTACAGAGCTCTTTGGAGAGATGTCTGTAGAGATATTTGGAGAGCACTGCTGAGAAACAGGGCTGAGAGGAGCAAGATGAGAATGAGAATTCCCTCTGAGCTCCCTCGGGGAGCAGCAGCAGAAATTTTACTCTGGAGCACAGGCACTTCTCTAGCAATTTTAAAAAGAATTTGTTTTTTGTAGCACTGCCTGCCTGCTGTAAAACTTGTTATCTCAGTGCCTTCCACCTCAAAGTTACCTAGAGAGCACAACAAAGCTTTGCACAGAACTGCACCTCCAGAGAGATGGGGAAGGGATGAGAAAAGAGGAAAAGGCACTGGTTTGGATCCTTACACATGCACTGCCTGTCTCTCCATGCTTTTACTCTTCAAGTCTGTTCTCCAAGGTCTGGGACACAAAAAAAAAGTTCACTACAAGCTCTGTGAAGCTCTTGGAGTGGAAGTTTTAGCTATAGGTTTGGGGAGAGTGGAAACCAGGAATTCATCCTGGCAGTGCACAAATCCCTGAAGCTTATTTTACAGCACAAAAACAACACTTCAGAGCTAAGAAAATTCCCTCTGGCTAGAACATTGCATGATTCAAGGATGGCTCGAGCTGGTGGGAGAATTCCCATCCCAGAGAAATGCCTGCAGCAAACTGTGTCCAACACTCTGTACGCAGGACTAAAGGGAAAGGGGGTAAAGTGCAGCAGTTACTCACCAAACTGACTGTAAGGGAATTCTGGCTGAGCAGTCGGGGGTTTGCTCATGTCCTGAGTTGCCTGAGATGGTGGTGGTGGTGGAGGAAAAGCGAGTGGTGCTGCCCCTGGAGTGGCAGGTGGAGGGGGGACTCCAGGGGGGGCAAACTGGTCAGGTGGAGGAGGTGGAGCACCATAACTAAAACCTGGAAGGACAGAACAGGTGAACATCAACATCCTGCTTGGCTTTAGAGATGATACAATTTAAAACCAACATTTCTGAGGCTATTAAAGCCCAGGTGTTTGTGACCAGTGGCTGCACAGAGATTCACCTTGACAGGCTGGTCACCCCCATGGCCCAAAGATCTCAGAACTCACCTTGCACAGGTGGGAGGAATGTCCCCCCCAAAGGCAGAGGCTGCAGCAGAGAAAGGGATAAGGCAGAACTGGGCAACTTACAGACATGAGCAGTGAGGAGGAAGCCATATTATCCAAGATGTCAGGAGGAAAAAGTATCTCAAGGTAACTGGATATTATTTTCCACCTTCTTTAAACCAGGTAAGCAACAGATTTTTGAAATGGTGGCCTGAGAGGTAGGTGCTAAAATCCTATTTGTATTCCAGTCCCAGTTATGACCTTAATTCCTTAAGCACCTCCAAAAAACCCTGCCTGTGTTTGGCCCAGGTCACCAGCAGTGAGCTCTAAGTTTTCTCTCAGATGTCCTAACAAAGATGCACAAAGTATCTAAATTTATTTAGCAACACAGATTTAAACTAGAGAACAGAAATGATTACTGCATCCAAGAATAAAATAAACAAAGAAAAAATAATGCTATAGTTAATTATAGCTCTGAATATATAATCTGGGAAAATTAATTAAGGATAGGTGAAACACAGGGAGAAATCCAAGTCCAGCAAACAATGAGGAAAAGCTGAATTTGGAGCTGGATGTGCTCCAGCCCCTGGGGGTCACTTACTAAATGGTGGAGGGGTGCCATAGCCCTGTGGAAATCCTTGTGGAGGCGGGAATCCCCCGGGAGGTGTGGAGACTATGTATGAGGTAAATGGTGGTGGTGGGGGAGGAGCTCCTCTGCCTGGAGGAGGGGGTCCATATCCACCTGGAAAAGGAAGAGAAACCCAAAAACTGAAGTGGATGAATACCAAGGAGCTGCTGCTGGAGTCAGCTTCCTCTAGATGGGGTAAGGCTGTTGGGTGGATTTCAAATGCAGGTTCAGCCTTCTGTGAATCCTCACTTTGGGAAATATTTGTCCTCCAAGTATCCCCACTGTAAATAATTGCAGTTTAGCATGTAATCCCTTGGTAACAAATTAATGTGGCTGGAACAGCAGGATGTGTGTCAGCTCCCATTACTGAGCTGCTAAGAAGCCACTGTCTTCCCCTCTGTTCTTCCAGGACAAATTCAATCAAGCTTTCAAATGTAGGTTAAATCCTACAGAAATCCAAAAATCACTGTGAATGCTCAAAGAAGCTGCACCCATGCTTGGGAGGATTTTTTCCTTTCAGAATTGGTCCCATATAATGTACTTACCAATTGCCTGTCCAGCTGGCACCCACATCCCTACAACAGAACAAAAAAAGAGCCTTAGACTCTTTTTTCTTAGTCATCAGCGAAGCTGCGCACTCCGGAGCAGGGATGATGCAAGAAGAAGGATTTGGCTCTGGGATAGACTGGGTATCCTCCCCGTGTCCCTTACAGAGCTATTTTTATGGCCTAAGCAACATTGTGGGACTATTTCTGAATGTGTAATTCTAGAAAGACTCTGAATCATTCAGCAAATGACACTCAGAATAAGACAGCAGTTCCCAAACCCAAATCAGATGGAGCATTCAGGAGCTGCCACATACCAAGTGCAAGAAATTACAGTACTACAGAGAACAACACCCCAGAGAACCCCAGCAGACTACACATCCAAGGGATTCTTAATTTACTACCAGGTTTATTCAAGTTATTTTTGCAGTTTTTGAAACATAAAAAAAGCCTTTCCCATCCCTTGTGCAGTGCTGAGATTGAAGGATAAATGCGCTCGTGTCTGACATTAATCTTTCCAGGAGATCAGATATCATTTTCCCTACTAATCACTGCATGGAAAATAATGGGAGTTTCTCAGTTTGCAGATTAGCACATCTGTGCACAATGTCAACCCTCAGCTGCAGCTTTCAAGTTAATCAGCACCGTGGGGAAAGGAGCAATCCCTGTGCTGCACTTCCATCCATCGGAGCAGGGACGGAGCAGCCTCGCTCCCTGCAGCCCCCCAGGTGAACATTTCTCATCTCTCAGAGCAAGCAAGCAAGTCATAGCAACTCAATTATCCCTCTGCATTTCTCCAGAAATTATCAAAATTGTCTTTGGATGAACTGAGTGTTTATCCTGCCTCTGGAATCTCGGGGGGATTGCAGCCATCAAACCCAGGCTGCTCCCGAGCCCCGCAGGGCTCCCGGTGTGCACTGAGTGCTCCCTGCACCAGAGCTGCCTGGTGCTTTCCCAAGCTACATCAAGCAATAAAATTCAAAGGCAAGGCCATCCATTTCCCTCTCATCCCTTTCAGATTTCCCTGATAACTTCCTTTGAAACTGCCTCATCCTTGAAAAGCCATATTTCAGCCCAATTTATCATTGGGGTGTTGTACAGAACTCACTCCACAGCTGGAGTCACACCTGGAGCCTTCCCAACACCTTTCTCTGAGCTCCCCCAACCCACGGGGATTCCACGTGGGGACAGGCAGCTCCAAAGGGAACAGGTGGAACACACCAGGGACACGTGCCAGGCCTGGCACCGCCTTCTGCCAAGGGAACGGATTTTTGGGAAAAGCAGGGAAAAAACCTCACAAAGGACTTGGGAGTGGAACTTCAGTCCTGCTATCAGGGAGATAAAACTGGGAATAACACCTAGTTGAGAAAAGCGGAGCGCAGCGAGCTGGAAAGGCCGGACAGGGAGAGGGTGGCACGGTGGGCAGTACCTTGGGGGCCGTACCCCTGCTGCCAGGTCGGAGGGGGCTGCCCTGCCCAGCCGTTGGCAGCACTTGGCATGATCCTGCTTCCCCACTGGCTGGCCCCCGGCGGCCCAGGAGTTTGGCTCTTGCTATCCCGAGGCTCGGCGCGTTTCACCTCCACCTAAACAAACAGAGGCAGCGCTCAGCAGGGCTGGGGGGGCCCCGCGCCCCCCGGCCCCTCACACACACCCGCAGGTACACTTAAGACTACACTTAGCATCTTATGACTTATGTCTAAGTACTTAATTATTAAAACTTAAGGCCAGTAATTTACAATGTTTCTCAGGTACAGTGTAGGTGATGGTAAGGCATTACGAGTCCTACTGTTGAGGGATTCCGAGAAAAGCATCCTACAAATCACTTCAGTCTCGTTGGCTTTAATCTTAAAACAGCAGTACCCTCTTACAGCAGCTCTGCACTTAAAACAGCAGAATCTTGGACATTCATGACAGACTGATTTCATGTTCAAGGCAGGAGATACAAAGATGATGTTTTCATTTAAAAAAACCAGAATTTTGAGTGAAGAGGCTGCTCTGAAAAAGGGTACTAATGCTTTAACCAAACATGTTTGGGGTCCATTTGGAAGTGACAGTTTAACCCACCCCAACTAACTGCAATTTCAGCTCTGCTCATACCTGAGAAACACACATTTTTTGAGATTTTTTTTTGTATTGTTGTATTTTTTTTTTTAAACTTAAGATTTTATTTAAATGTCTAATGGAAGATAAAGACTTACCTTCCCCAGGCTAACGCTTAAAGAATCTCAGTTAACTCAATCTTAATTTACTACCAGGTTTATTCAAGTTATTTTTGCAGTTTTTGAAACATAAAAAAAGCCTTTCCCATCCCTTGTGCAGTGCTGAGATTGAAGGATAAATGCGCTCGTGTCTGACATTAATCTTTCCAGGAGATCAGATATCATTTTCCCTACTAATCACTGCATGGAAAATAATGGGAGTTTCTCAGTTTGCAGATTAGCACATCTGTGCACAATGTCAACCCTCAGCTGCAGCTTTCAAGTTAATCAGCACCGTGGGGAAATGAGCAATCCCTGTGCTGCACTTCCATCCATCGGAGCAGGGACGGAGCAGCCTCGCTCCCTGCAGCCCCCCAGGTGAACATTTCTCATCTCTCAGAGCAAGCAAGTCACAGCAACTCAATTATCCCTCTGCATTTCTCCAGAAATTATCAAAATTGTCTTTGGATGAACTGAGTGTTTATCCTGCCTCTGGAATCTCGGGGGGATTGCAGCCATCAAACCCAGGCTGCTCCCGAGCCCCGCAGGGCTCCCGGTGTGCACTGAGTGCTCCCTGCACCAGAGCTGCCTGGTGCTTTCCCAAGCTACATCAAGCAATAAAATTCAAAGGCAAGGCCATCCATTTCCCTCTCATCCCTTTCAGATTTCCCTGATAACTTCCTTTGAAACTGCCTCATCCTTGAAAAGCCATATTTCAGCCCAATTTATCATTGGGGTGTTGTACAGAACTCACTCCACAGCTGGAGTCACACCTGGAGCCTTCCCAACACCTTTCTCTGAGCTCCCCCAACCCACGGGGATTCCACGTGGGGACAGGCAGCTCCAAAGGGAACAGGTGGAACACACCAGGGACACGTGCCAGGCCTGGCACCGCCTTCTGCCAAGGGAACGGATTTTTGGGAAAAGCAGGGAAAAAACCTCACAAAGGACTTGGGAGTGGAACTTCAGTCCTGCTATCAGGGAGATAAAACTGGGAATAACACCTAGTTGAGAAAAGCGGAGCGCAGCGAGCTGGAAAGGCCGGACAGGGAGAGGGTGGCACGGTGGGCAGTACCTTGGGGGCCGTACCCCTGCTGCCAGGTCGGAGGGGGCTGCCCTGCCCAGCCGTTGGCAGCACTTGGCATGATCCTGCTTCCCCACTGGCTGGCCCCCGGCGGCCCAGGAGTTTGGCTCTTGCTATCCCGAGGCTCGGCGCGTTTCACCTCCACCTAAACAAACAGAGGCAGCGCTCAGCAGGGCTGGGGGGGCCCCGCGCCCCCCGGCCCCTCACACACACCCGCAGGTACACTTAAGACTACACTTAGCATCTTATGACTTATGTCTAAGTACTTAATTATTAAAACTTAAGGCCAGTAATTTACAATGTTTCTCAGGTACAGTGTAGGTGATGGTAAGGCATTACGAGTCCTACTGTTGAGGGATTCCGAGAAAAGCATCCTACAAATCACTTCAGTCTCGTTGGCTTTAATCTTAAAACAGCAGTACCCTCTTACAGCAGCTCTGCACTTAAAACAGCAGAATCTTGGACATTCATGACAGACTGATTTCATGTTCAAGGCAGGAGATACAAAGATGATGTTTTCATTTAAAAAAACCAGAATTTTGAGTGAAGAGGCTGCTCTGAAAAAGGGTACTAATGCTTTAACCAAACATGTTTGGGGTCCATTTGGAAGTGACAGTTTAACCCACCCCAACTAACTGCAATTTCAGCTCTGCTCATACCTGAGAAACACACATTTTTTGAGATTTTTTTTTGTATTGTTGTATTTTTTTTTTTTAAACTTAAGATTTTATTTAAATGTCTAATGGAAGATAAAGACTTACCTTCCCCAGGCTAACGCTTAAAGAATCTCAGTTAACTCAAACAATGTCAGAGGGAATGGATGTGATAAGAGAATCTTACATTACATCTAACAAAAAAGTAAACAAACATGCAAGTAATAAAAATGGACAGTTGAGTCAATAAGAAGCAATCTTCATACTGTGTTAAGTCAGTGACAAAACCCCTCCTGTTTTAAAAATCAGTAACCACAGTGCTTAACTTATTTCATTCCAAGATAAAATGTCCTAGTGTTCCCAGCCATGGAATAAGTGCGTTTGACCTACTTAAAATAAGCTGCACATTCAACATAAACCTCTCAAAAAAAAAAAAAAAATCCAGTTCTGATTTAATGAAACCCTCTCAGCACTCACTGAATTTTTTTTTTTTCATTTCATGATTAATTTTAATGGGTGCCAGAGTACAAAGAAAATAAATCTCAATCATCAATGGGCCTGAGTAGTATGGAAAATAAAGTATTCAGAATTCTTCCTGCCATGTCTTAAAAGCCATTCATGTCGGAGAACAAACAGGAAACAGGCACAAGGCAAGGACAAAGCCCCCCACACCCCCCCTGCCAATGCCCCAAGGACATGAGACATGACAGTAACCAAATCTCTGTCAGCTCAAGGCCCTTCCAGAGAGGAACCAAGGGAATTTTTCAAAGGACTCAAATTAATGAGTCTTAACACATTTGCCTTGAGGGAATTCAGTTATTGCTTACAAAAGCAGAGGCCTTCTTGCAATTTTAATTTTTTCCCCCTCCTTTCAACAACATATGGATTCATTTCAGCAATACCTTTTTAATTACCAAAAAGACAGAGATACCATTTTTAAAAGCAGGCATGATTAGGCAGTGAAGGAGAGAGCAGGGGATCTGGAGCTCATTAATCCTTGTGGAAGAATCCCATTAATTTTTCAGTGCACACTTGGAAGCAGGGAACTGCCAAAGTGAGGACTGAAAATTCCCTGTGCAATAGGGAGGTTCAAATTCCACACCTGCCTAGAGCCCAGCTACCCCAAGAACTGAGGCAACTCTATTAATCTGAGCTAAAAATCCCTGAATCCTGATTTTTTTTTTTGGGGTTACTGAAAGGGAGGGGGAAAGGGCAAAAATCAATTATTTCAGTTTGGAATTGGGTTTGTTTGGGGAACACAGAGCAAGCCCCAGTGCTGTGTCAGCAGCAAAGCAATGAGGAGGCTCACACTGGGCTCTCCATCCTCTCCCAGCACCTTGTGGATGTTTCTCCTTTGTTCCCATTTGGATCTGCTGCTTCATGGGATCAGTTCCCACTTTAGGGTTCTGCTGAAGGCAATTCCAAGGGCAGATCAGGGAATACTGGGGGGATACAGGTGATCCCTACACACCCCTGTGTGATTTACTGCACCTGCTCACACCTGGGAGCGTCACACCAGGAACCAAGAACTGATGTTCTGGATCCCACAAGTACATTCCTTTGTTCCCATTATCAGGAAACCACCCAGCCTTCCACCCCAAAACAAGTTCACAGGAATTAAAGGCATAACTGCACTGCAAAATGAACCAGAACTCCACTGATATGCAGAGTGTGTCCCTTGCTAGCTAAGGAAAGGCTTATGAAATATCAGCACATAAGACTTTAAAGACAATTAAAAACTCACATAATGCAATAATTTAATGAATGTGAGAATCTTCTATGTCTCTCTGAGTGCCCTCACTTCAAGTTTAGCAGTTTTAACATCAGTTTAAAATCTGAATATACCTTAAAGCTGTGCAAGGACTTAAATTTACCAGAATTTCCTGTGGTTCATTTTTCTTTAAATCACTCTTTCCCCTATATTTAAAACTTGGGTGTCCTGCAACAATTTATTTTGCTTTTAGGTTTGGGTTTTTTGTTTTGTTTTGGTTTTTTTTTCCCCACAGGTAGAAGCATGTTCCTTGCTGAGTAACATCAAAGGAGCCTAAAAAATTCCTGCCTATCCAAGCCCCGTTTGCTGACAACACAGTATGAAGATGAAACAACCAGAGGTCACTTAACTGCATTGTGGTTAAATACTATATAGAGTACGTGGATTGGTATCAAAGTTTCACAGTAAGTGACCCAATTTTTTAAAAAACCAATCCTTCAGGATGTTTTTTTTTCTCCCTTTTTCTTTTAAAGTTTAAGATTATACAAAGCAGATTGTCTGACACCACCTCAAGATTTGAGTATCGAGTACACATCTGAAGGAGTGGTATCTTAAACCAAGCCTTGAAGAACTCGGATTTCACTGGGATTCTGCTTTTCCAACAGCTGGAAATCACTGATTTCTCTCCTTGCCCCACAGCAGAGCTCAAAGCAGAGGCAGTGAGCACCAGTTCACCCCAGTGATGATGATCCCAGTTCATCTGCTCAGCCAGAGCAGCCCCCAGGTCTGTACACACAAGGCCTCACCCCAAGCAGAGCCCACAGCCTGAATCCTCAGGCTTCCAAGCCCTCCCTTCCCCAGGCTGCCCCCATCCTAACTGCCCTTCTCCAGCAAACTCAGACTTTCCCCACCTCCATGGATAAAGCCTTGAATTTGGACTGCTGTGCTCTCCCATCAACAATTAAGTTGGATTCCCCAGTGAAATCTCTCGTTGTCCAAGACTTGGTTCTTTCTTAAGGTAAAATAAAACTACAACTACACACTTTTTTGCCCATGATGTCGTGAAAATGCATGTTGACAGCCTGGTCCACTGATTGTTCGTCCTCGAAAGTAATAAATCCAAAACCTAGCCAACGACGAAGAGTGAATCAAGGTAGCAGGGTGTTGTGACACAAAACAGGATGATGAACAGTATTAGGGGCAGACCAAGGGTTCAAGCAGGGGTTTCAGATAACGACACTTGTGTTCAATTGGCAAAAACTCTGAGGAAATTGCAATGGATACTTCCTGTGAAGAGGCTTTAGTGCCTCGTCTCGATTGCGCGCATGCAGCTTCGAACTGAGCTCGTTAACCGCCTTTTAATTTGATTTTATTCCTCATCCACCTACCAGGAAATGGAAAAAAACTGCTAAAATCAAAATACTTGTGGGACAGCAGATTGAAGTCAAGCAACTTTGCTGCTCCTCCCTTTGATTTAGCTTAGATTCCCAAGGAAAACCTATCATATATCCCTGTTCCCCAAAGCTGCAAAGCAACTTCCTCCCAATCCCTTAGCCCAGCTTCCAGTTAGGGAATATTTTCCACAGAAAAGAAAGTTAGTTTCGAAATGTAGCTGTTAAAGCATGAGAAATTTTACCACTCCATGGATGAATGAGAAGCTTCAGAAACTAACAACCTACATCAGAGGTTCTCAAGTTTTCCACACCTTGGAGAAAATCATGGAACAGGCGTCACTCCTTCCCAACAAGGCAGCCCCCTGTGAGGTGTTGCTCACACAGAACATGGTGTTGCTGCCACGTCCTGAATCTGTTTCATTTCTTGAATTTCCTGGTGGGTTTCCTTTTGAAAATCCACACAACTTCCCCATCCTTTCTGCCCCCAATGGGTGGTTCGTTCCCTTCCACCTGACCACAGCCCTGGCTGCTGGCAGCTCAGCTGGATCCAGCAGCTTTTGATGCTTGGAGAAAACTCTGAGAAAGGAGGCAAAGCTCCCCTTTTGGAGGTCACTCTGAGAACCACTGAAGTAGGTTGTAGCTGCTGACACAGCCGAGAGAGTGGCAAAATAGTGGTTAATCCCCCAGGACAAGGCGGCTGCTTCATGCCATCACCCACTGGCTGCTGGTGGGGACAACCCAGGGCAGGGAGGGACACATGCAGTACAGGAATTGTGCCATTCTTTGGATTAGCTACGGAGGGGGGGAAACGGGGAAGAGCAATAAAAATTAGAAAAGAAACCCGAGGTGCGGCGTGGGAAGCGTTTATGGAACATGGATGCGGTTCTGCTTTTCTGAAACCCAAGATTTCCCCCTTGGTTTGCGTTTTGCTTTGCAGCTAGTGCTGACAGCAGCCAAATCTTGCTCTAAAGCGTTACAGAATACAGATCTAGCACAGGAATGTCTCTCCACGCTTATCCAACTGCGTTGGGTAAGCCCAAAGAGGCCTAGTGTAGAGAAAGTTTATATATATATATATATATAAAAATACACAAAGATACAGGCCAAAATAGATTCCAGCAGGTCAAATTCTGCTGTCAGCAACAAGAGCAAAAGACATCACTAAAATAAACTGAAAATAAAAAGGAAAAAACTTGGCATTTCCCACACACAAGAGACTGGCAGTATAAACGAAGTTTTGTGGAGCTGTGATGAAAGCAGCCTCGAAGCTGAGAGCAGCATTTCATCACAATATATTTGTCTGAGTTAACCAGAAATCTGAGTGTTGGAGCCAAAGGAAAAGTGTTTGTATTTAAATCACGTTTAGTATTCCAGCCTTTGTCTAAAAAGAGATGGGGAAGAAAAACAATGGATTCCATCTGGATGTGAAGGTTGTTGTTAAATTTGATTCCAAAGCTAAAGGAGGGGAACGGATTGTGGGATGGGGTTGGAAGGGTAGAACAGGGAGAGCAAGAGGTCATTGAGAAAAGCAATAAATAATTTTTAAAAAGGGGATTTAAAAGGGTCAGACAGCACAAGATAAAGAAGAGTACAGAAATCAGAGTAACAGCAAAACCCGAAGGTGAAGTTTTAAGCAGAAGTGACGAAACCCACCACCTGCAGCTTTAGTTTTTGAAGGACAGGACTCTGTTAAAGGCTGGAGAAATGAAATGCATCCAGCAGGAATCCAAGAGGACCAGACCAGAGTGACAGAGCTGGTCTGCAGCCAAGGGAGGAGGAGAACAGACAGAGCAAGAGCCTGGAAACCCCTTCCCAGCTGTTGGCTTGGCCAAGAACAGGAACCAGGAGAAGCTGAGACTGCACCAAAGCCAAAGTCCTTCAGAGATGTGACATGGCTGCTGTGCTTGGGGCTGTGGGAAGAGTCTGGATGAGGCAGAGCTGGCAGGAGCAGGCAGGACTGGGAGGAAGCAAAGATCATGTGGATACCTGACCCCAGTCAGCTCCTCAAGGACATCACCTGAGAATTTGGTGCCTCCTGAGGAGCTGGAGGTAAATGGATGCTACAGGGATTAGGAACAAGGATCATTTTCCCTCCTCCTACCAGTAAAGCGATGTGCACTCCCAGAGGAAGGGTGGTAAAGTGAATGAGAAAAGGCAAAATTCAGAAGGGTCTGAGGAGAGATGGCATTGAATTGGCCTCTGGAATTTTATCTACAATTATTAAAAGGATAAAGGGACAGAGCAGCAAGAGAACACAGAGAGAAGAAGGCAAGAGAAAATGTGTTCTGGGATGCACAACCAGGAGTACCCAACATAAACTCGAGGAATTTTTCCTAGCACCCCCCAGGGACTGCCAGGGCCTTTTTGGGAGATGTGTTAGTCAGCACACTAAAAAAAGCCTGGAACAGCACAGAAACAAAAGGCAGAGAGAGAGGATTCAAGAAGTGCTTAAGAAGTCTGATAAATTAGGGGAGGAAGTTTTCTGTGGGTGGAGACAAGACCTTTCCCCCACCTGGCACTTGTGCTTTGCACCCCAAGCCCTCCTTTGCTGTTTTGCTTTTAGTAGAGCTTGAAGCAGAGAAGCCATTAATTGAGACAGGATTAATCCAGACCAGGCATGATGTTTAAGTACCTTTTGCACAGAGGCTGCAAGGCTGGGATTAAATATTGCAAAGATGGAGATGATACAATAATTACTGAAATATTTCAGAACTTCAGCCCCAAATTACATTTGAATGTCAGTGCCTTTGTCTCCTCTATCCAAAACCAGCTGCTCTAAAGCATTGAAACAGATGAATTTATGTGCTGCTTAAATCAAAGGTATCTGCTGGAAGAAGATTAGGATAGCTAAAGCAAGAAAACAAAAAAACAAATATATTGAAACTTCGTTTACACTCCAATAAAAGACAAAGCCCGTCCCTCCTCTGACTGCGGAACTGGCCTGTACCTCTGTGATAAATTATCACCTAGAGAGAAGAAATCTAAAGAGATATCGTTAATCACAGTCAAACAATTCACAGAGAGAAAAGAAACAAAAAAAAGAACTTACTTAACATTACCATACTTTACTATGAAACACTTAAATATGTCACTAAGGATGTATGTCTAAATTAAAAATAAAACTAAGACTTAACAGCTTAATAAATATGAAGTGAAGGATATATTTCTTAATAATGAGGCAGAAGAGAAATGAAAAGTTCAGATGGCAAACTATTCTCTAGCATGTCCAACATGCTACAGGGTGGGAGCACAGCTAAGCTTCATGTGCCAAAATATTGCCTCTTCCTTGGCAAACAAATGGTGGATGCAAAGGGACGTGAGTGACATGGAATTGCTTCATATTTTGACCAAAGGTTCCCAGCTTGATTCAATATCTAGTGAATCTTTCAGGTTTTTGGGTTTTTTTTTCCCTCCCCTCTTAAAAAAGCAATATGGTACACAGGGATTATATATCCCAATTAAAAATATACATATATATATTTTAGAATTATTTTGCGCTGTTTAAGAAGAGTTTTTCTTTAATTTGAGGTGAAGCCATTTAACCAAAACAAAAAGCAGGTGATGGATGGATTCTGTCCTGTCTCGTGCTCTGGCTGGAGCACCTCACATGCACTTACAGACCCAACATACCTTTCATGTGGAACAGGAGGAAAATCTGCTTATTTTTCCCCCCCTCGAAAGTACCTTAAGCCACAGGAGTGGCTCGAGAATCAAATTTCATTCAACTATAAAAAAAAACCCCAACCCATCAATGAGCATGAAACATCTGAGTTGAAATGCACAGACCCAAGTGAAGCTGGAGATGAAGAGTCTAGACTTGAAGTGATGTTTGCCCAGTGAATTATTCTTTTTCCTGAGGCAACATAGGGAAAAAAAAAAAAAATCTACCTTTTCTGATGGTGTGAAATAGTTTGCCATCTGACTATAGGAGAGTATGAAGAAATTTCAAGGACAAACTAGATCAGCCTTTACCTCGGGGCCTCTGTTTCTCTGCGTCATAGATCATTACAACTTCAGTGACCTGGAAGAGAGAAGAGAAATTCTACTCCCTGTGCTACCAGGGGAGGGCTGGAACAGTCACCACCAGCTGGTTCCTGCTCTCTACCCACAAAGCACAAGCCAAGTGCAGCCATCATCCCAGCAACAGCAAAAAAACAGGGAATATTGCTCTTGCTGGGAGTTCAGAATGCCTGAGCTCATCTCTATTGTCTCATCACACTTGACATTTTAATCTAACACTGAGGTTTTGTACTATTTGTACCCACTCTACAGCCTATTACACACCCCAAAGGTTTGTTTTCCAACAACTCATCAGTGTAGCTTTTTAAAGCATGATTTTCCCCATTTTTAACCATTTTCATTTTCACCACAAAAAGCAGCTTGAGCTGCAGGCACCTCCAGGAACATGCAGGGCTCCTCTGATTGAATTACTGGAGCACCAGAGAAGCCCAGAGCACCAGTTAAACCAATGCTTTAAACAGCTTTACAAAACCTCTCTAAGCTCTGGATGAGCAGTATCAGTGTGATTTTAACCTAAAAAAGAAAAAATTGAAATTGCAAGCTGTTCAAAGGCTTCAGGATTATTCTTCTCAGAATGAGCACCACAGTGAGCTACAAT